TAATGGGTTTCAGCTAAGAATTGTGTTCAAAGGTTTAGTTACACTACATTTACCTGGATAGCAATGTAAGCTTCTGCTCCAACATGATTTCCAGCTTTTGAGCCTGTTTGGAGATCCAGTGGTCCACTCCATGGTAGCGATAACAGTTCTCCAACATTAGCCTGAAGTCTGCAACAAACTCTGTAATGGTCTCATACTCTTGGTTGATAAACTTCTCCTCCATCCTCCGCAAGCACATCGACTGCCTGAGCTGTGCCTGACCCCGGCCCCGAACCCCTCCAATACCATGCTGGGCTTCCTGGTGGCCAATGGGGTGGAGGAATGGGCTGGTGATCCCTTTGTGCTTGTCCAAGAGAAAGCCAGTGAATATCCTATACGCTTGCTGGACCTCATAGTTCATATCCTCCTCGAAGCTGTTGCTGTTGGTGGAAATGCAGACCTCAGGCAGAGACAGGTCACTGTTAGAAAACTCTGACATGCCATCGTTGCTCAGTGCAAGGTGGTCACCTTCAGCAGCTACATCCCCACTGTAGCCAGGACAGTGTAACGCTACCATAGTCTCAACTTCACATGTACCATTACTGAGCCCGTCTTCAGTTATGATCAGGTCAGTGTCCTCAGTGCTGTTGCTCATCCATTTGGATTGTGAAGACATGATGTCTGAGCTTGGCTGTGGGGGTGCCGAGTCTTTTTTGGGGAACAAGGGTTGGCTACAAGCTGCTGTGATTTGGTCTGTCACATCCACCTGATCCATGGTGCAGGCACCTGAAGTGGGTAACAGGTGTCACCTATGGTGAACAGTGATGTCACAACGACACTCAAGCATAGTTGTGATGCATGGGAAAACAAAACCAAACAAACAAACAGTGCTTACTAAGCATTTATATTGCAAGGTCCAAAATAATACACAGCAGGGAGATGAGGTGTTCATACCTAACATACAACATCGCTTGGCTAAGTTTGCCTACATTTTAATTCTTGCCATGGCAGGTGCTCACAATATTTCAGCCACATGATACAACACTGGCATGTTTATCTCGTGTGGTTCTGTCTTAATTACTAGCACTTAAACTTACTTTATCTACCTGCCTCATCTTCACAAACTTTCCTTTTCCACTGGATCAATGGCTAGCTAGCTTGAAGTTAGCTACTAGCGACCTAGCTAACGGTACTTAAAACAATAAGTAAACAAACTTTGTTCTGCTTGCTCATAGAGCGATATACAGTGCACTCCCTTATCACGTCCCGTATCCTGTCACGTGTGAAATAAGACCAAAACAAAGTGACCAGCTTGGCTGGTTGAACAACATACCTCGACGTTTTCAGTGCCGCTCCAGACACGCACCAGGCAAGACAGCTTTTAGCAAGCTTAGCAGCCACGACAGCTTGCTAGCTAGGTTAGCTTGCTATTGTCTCCAATCTGGGGCCTGCAATTGCTGCGTTCGCTGTCCATAATGGAAATTTTGGAGTAATTAAATGCCGAACAGATAAAAAGTTATGCATACACCGCATGTCGTCAGCGCACGGAGTGATGTCAGTGACAGCAAGATGGCTAAAGGAGCATTAGCCGGAGTAACACTAGCTGATTGTCCGACAATGCATAACACTTCATTATCACTAGCCATCCAGCTAACCAGCTAGGTTTGCAAGTTGACAGCCACTTTGTGACAAGTAAAAAAATCCAGGTTCACTTTAGAGAGAAATTTCCGCCTTGTGTTGGATATCTACTGAAGCCTGTAGGCTTTACAAAAAGCTAGTAACCGACTACTCTGTCTGGCTTGCTTGAAGACTACTGTACCGTCCACTTCACTTCCACCCTGCGTGCGCCCGATGCAAATGTGCGCAGCCTGACGTAGCTAGCTGGTCGCGTGCCACACCAAATTGTTATTTTGGTTTTGGAGCTATTGCTGACACAGCCTCACTTCACACTGTATTATTAATAACCTTGTTGTGATTGTTTCACCCATTGTCACTGAAAGAGGAGCATCTTGAGACAGCTGTCATTGGAAATAAAATGTACATTATCGACAACGCTTCTGTGCGCAACAATGAATGAACAGCATCAACCCGTAAAATCTCATTCATAACTTGAGCGTGTCAGTATCTTTCAATTAGTTACAGAAGACACAGTGGGAACTCCTCCATGTACAGTGTGAAACTTCAGCAGCATGTCTTACTTACTTTTCACCGCTAGATGGTGGTCGTCACTAGTGTACAACAGACAGCTGAGCGTCTCGTGTGAGTGAAGTGCAGGGCTTTATTTGCCCTTTGTTTCGCCTCTCAGGTAGCTCTTGACTTCACTCTGTCCAAAAAGCTCCACCACATGGTTATTCTGGTAATGGCCATGTCCGGGACAAGTGTGTATCACAGAAAGCATGTTTTGTACACTGCCTTAGAAAACTGACAACCCACCAGACCATAATCAGGGAAGAGCCCAATCTATTGTGTTTTGGCTGCTTCATGTACACCTCCATTGCTATAGGTTGAGGCGGGGAATTACAGTTGTTTATCACCAGATTGCTGTATTTAAAAATAAAAAGTGTCTCTGGATATATTTAACACCGCACATCGTTTTAATGCAGCTGCCATATTTTTTAGTCAAGTGAGCAAAAGACAGAGCACGCAGCAACATGTATTATTCCTTTATAGACAGTTAAAGACTTGCCGGTGGCACATGGAGGAGGTCTCCAGCTGGGACAAATGTTAATTAAGCAATTATGCCACAAGAGGCATGTGTTTTACAGTGATTTTAGCTCAGCTAGAAGGTATTGTCAGGCAAAGGGGTTTCAGTCCATACAGGCCCTTTTATCCCTCGTGTATGCAGTGGCTGCACAAATACTTGAAGGGACAGAGTAAGGCCCATGGTAGTAGGCTCTAGGGAGAAGCTTTAAGTGGCTTCTATTACATGCTCATGGAAAGACAGATTTATGAAAAAGAGGATCTGATTAGCAATTTCAAAAGGGTAGTATACTGCACTGTTATATCGCAACAATATGATATGGATGTATTTAGTGACAATCAGCTTGACCGGGACACTGTTTCAGAAACCAAGATCAATATTCCTACATATGATTTTGCTTTACACAAGTCAATAAAATACATGACAACATTTAAAACTACAAAAGGAAAAATAGTCAAAGATTAGATTAAAATAGTTTTTTTTATTAGATGTAAAAATATTTATTTTTAGAAATACAGAAATCCAGTTTCTGTGCAATAGGCCAGTTGTTACATAAATGAGCAAAAGTGCAGTGATGAAGTTCATCAATTAAAGGTTCAGGAGAACAGGAGAGATTTTAATTCAGATTTTAGTGAAGGTTAAGGGTAATTGAAAAAGACTGTCAAAAAATTTGGTCCCATCTGTGTTCAGAACAGCAGCTAAAAGTAGCTTCACCCTGTCTGGTTCTAATACAGGTACTAGCTGACTGTGTCCTATAAAGATCCTAAGGAGTTATTAGGTTTAGTTTTCAGGCATATCGAGCATCTATTTTGTCCATGGGATTTTGGCCCAAGCCCATTAAATGATTTATTAAAAGAGATCAGCCCATCAAAATCAATCCTGTAAACTGTAAGCCAATGGGTTCACTTTCACTGCTTCTTGTTAGATCTATGGGAGCAGCATTCTGAATGTGCTGCAGTTGTACATTTGTTGTTGTGAGAAGAGGCGACATGAGACTTGGTCTACAGGGGGGTAATTCTATAATATTTACCACAACACATAACCAACACTGGATTACAAATAGGCAATAGAGGGCAACTGCCCTGTGCCTTCAGACTCCCAGGGGCCAGCAAAAGCCCTAGGTTCCCTGTGTGGTGTGTGCTTGGTAATATGACTAATTGTAATTTTGTTTGAGAATATAGGAATAGGCACTACTAAAGATCAAAGTCTGTGTCAAAGTGCAGTGTTCCAAAGTTGAGACACTGTGTAAAACATGAGTAAAAACAGAATGCAATGATTTGTGGATCTTTTTTTTACCTGCTTTCAATTGAATACAGTACAGAGACCAGATATTTAATGTTCAAACTAATAAACTTAATTGTTTTTTGGTGAATATTCACTCAATCTGAATTTGATGCCTGTAACATGTTCCAAAAAAGTTGGGACAAGGGCAACAAAAGATTAGATAAGTTATGAAATTCTCGAAAAACACCACTTTGCAACAATCCACAGGTAAACAGGTTAACTCGTAAAAGATTATGAGTGGGTTTGAAAGTGGCATCCAGTTGTCCACAAGCAAGGACCGAACTTTGTGAAAAACTGCATGGGCTAACAGCCGAATAATTTAAGAACAGCGTTTCTCAAAGCAAGGAATTTAAAGATTTCACCATGTCTAATTCATAATAACATCAAAAGATTCAGAAAATCTGGAGAAATCCCTGCATGTAAAGGACAAGGCTGAAAACCAATATCGAATGGCTGTGACCTTTGAGCCCTCAGACCACTGCATTGAAAACAAACATGACTGTATAAAGGATATTACTACATGGGCGTGGGACCACTTTGGAAAAACCATGCCATACCACTTTGGTGTTACTGGCATGTTAACTCTACCATGCAAAGTGCAAGCCATATAACATCCAGAGACAGTGCTGACTTCTCTGGGCCCGAGCTCATCTGAGATAGAATGACACAAAGTTGAAGAGTGTGTTATGGTGTGAAGAGTCCACATTTCAAATAGTTTTTAGATTGTAAAGTAGCACCACAACAATAGCTACCTACTACTGTGCTGTAAAGGCCCTGAGACAAGGCTCAGTATTCAAAACTGTGCCTTTAACTGCAAACTGTGCTCGCTTGAACGCTCGCGAGATTTGCTTGGCGCCGCGACCTCATGTGAGACACCTCCTGCTCGAGCCAGTCCGACGTTACCTCTGCAGAGGAAAACGCAATGGAGCCCTGAACATTTTTCATTTCTGTCTCCTTTGACCCCTGGAAAACACACTTCGTATCCAAACACAGTTTTACCTGCTATTTATTCGAGGCGTAACAGGGCGGTGCAACAATGTGGATCCAGGTTCGCACTATAGACGGGAAGGAGACGCGAACCGTTGAGGATCTTTCTAGATTGACCAAAATTGAGTCTTTACGGTTGAAAATACAGGACATCTTCAGTGTAAGCCCTCAACAGCAGCGCCTGTTCTACCGAGGAAAGCAGGTAAACGTGTATTTTGTGTCACCCCGTCACGCAACAGTCGGTTTTGGGTGTTTTGGCAGGGTTTGGTGCTGGTGGAGAGTGTGAGTGGTCCTCTGGTGTTGTAGCCGTTTCGGACCCATGCAAGCTTCCTGTTTTGATAGGAATTCGCCAATAGTTCTTGCGCAAGAGCCCGGGGTACGCGATGTGCCAGCCCCCGAGAAAAAAAGCAGCCATATAACATGGATGTATGGTTACAGAAGCATGTTGCATTGTTTGGGTTTGTGCTGAGGAGACCTGCCTGCATGCAACAAATGTCTCACCGCCGTGGACATGTTTGTTTACATTGCCGCGAGAGAGAAAAGAGAACATCGCCCTCTGTTTCCACATGGACACCAAAGTAGTGCAGCACAAACAACTAGCCCGCAAGTCAACGACTAAATCTTGTTAAACCGAATTAAACAGCTCGATTTGCACACCCAGTGTCCCTATATATATCTATCTAAATGTGCATTTCTGTTTTGCATTCGTAACATGTGGCACCAGTTGCTCTAAACTGCACTGAGCCCTACTCGATAGCCACCAGACTTGAGCATGTGCTGTGTTATGATGATAATGATAATTTGAGGAAGGAGGGGACTCGTGGCTCCACGTGCCCTGACATCTAAAAGCTCTGTAGTTGTGTTTACACCCTGGCGTCACTACGGTATGCACAGTGTACAGTCAGGACGGACCGTGCTATTTTCAGTCTTCTCATGTCCTGACAAATAAGTAGTGCACATGCTGTATAGATTCAGATGGATGATTGTCATGCTTCCTAAGCATGCTCAGTTTCCAAAATAATAAGCCTAATTTCAGTACCATGTTTTTTTATGTGTAAGGATTGATGTAATTTTAATGCTGTGATAATTATACTGCACATTTTTGTCCCCATTGCCCATCTCAGCTTTTCAGTCAATTAATTATTGTTGGTATCTGGAAGTTAATTACATTTTCAGCATTAAAGGGGTAGTTCACTCTCAATTAAAAGAACAACAACATGTCTTTCTTATCTGTAGTGCTATTTATCAGTCTATATTGTTTTGGTTTGAGTTGCAGAGTGTTGGAGATATTGGCCGTTGAGTTGTCTTCCCTTTCTCAAATATAATGGAAGTAGATGGCACTCGGCTTGTGGTGTTCAAAGTGCCAAAAAAGTACATTTAAAAACTTATCAGCAATGTCTCATTAGCAATGTCTCCTTCCAGAAATCACGGCCAGATACGTAAGATAATCCACACACCTTGCAAGCATTTTCAACCTTTTTTTTTATTTATTTATTTATTTTTTTACCAAACTACACCCACCGGCCATTTCACTGTGCAGAAGCGTGCATCTACTGCTAGCTCACCTGGCATCTCTGACCTAGCTAATGTTGCAGCTCAGCTAACGAGGATGGCATTAATGTTTACATCTCATGCTGTGTCTCGTCCATGAGTAGATGTATGCTTCCTTCTGCACAGTGACACAGCTGGCAAGTGTAGTTTGGTAGAGAGAAAATAGTTCCTACATGAAATAGCTGTCACCAAGGTCCTGTGGATTATCTTGAGTAACCAGGTCGTGACTTCTGTAGAGAGACATTGCTTTTGGGGTTGTTTTTTTTTTTTGTTTTTTTTGCTGCTTGGAGGACCACAAGCCAAGTGTCACCGAGTTCCATTATATTTAAGAGAAGGCAGACGTCCCTACGGCTGATATCTCCACTACGCGGCAACTCACACCAAAACAATCTAGACTGATAAATAGCACTACAGGTAAGAGGTAAAATGTGTGATTTTTATTCTGGGTTGAACTGTCCCTTTGATGTCATTGTACATCATACAATATGTCTTGGACAGTTTGTAATACCAATAAGAAACAAAAAGTGTGCTCTGGGAAAACATATGTTTGGGCCACTACTACAGTGTCACTTTCTTTGGGGTGAAACTAGTGTAAAAACCACAATAATTATTCAAGGCTAAAATAATATGTCTTTGGTTTTTAGGCTACAACCAGTATATAATTTTTAGCCGCTGTCCTGGTGTGATGGCAGTTCCACACACTGTTAAATCATGTGTTAGAAAAGTAATGATTCATACATTACCGTGAACAGATGTTAGTGTACCTTTTCTCTCTGTCACATAGTGATTGAAGCAAGGTTAATGTTATTACATGCCAGCAGCCAGTGAAGATTTTGGCATGAAAACTGTAATCTGCCGCCTTAACACAGACACATGTGTTGGTGTGTGTCATGGCGGACGGACGCGTGCAGCCTCGAAGCCTGTGGTTGACACACACAGACATATTTTATGATCTGCCTCACATACACACATAAACGCTCACGTTGTCACTCCAACTGATAAGGTAGTATACGCAAACAATGTTGGGAAAATTTGTTTTCTGCACCCTTATATGTGCTGCTGTAATATGACAAGAGATCTGTCTGAAAGGAAGTTTGTGTCATTCACTATTTATGTTTTGTTTGTTCAAATATGCAAATGCATACCATTCAAAATATAAAAGACAGGAAGACTAGCCCACTGTGTCTTAATGTGTGAAATATTGCTGAAAGCTTTCACTGTACCAGCTGTTGTTCTATCAGTAATAAGCGAAAGATGCTCACTGCTGACAGGACACTGGTGTCATTATTTATTTAGTATTCAAGCATAACATTACAACGCTGATATTAACACAGTGTGTGACTCAGCCAGGCGGATAAGCCCCCAGGAAGCGAACGGGCCCACATGATGTGTTGATCTCACGTTGTTTACATTTAGTCACACTTTCCTTCATTCATATGTCATGCAGTATTACGGGCCGAGAAATTCCTTTCCTGAATGGTTTTCTGCGCGTTCAAGTTGTCTAACCCACTTCCTGTTGTGTAATTAAATGATAATGAAGTCACAAACAAGAACATTCTGAGTCATACAGGCTACAATGGGTTGATTTTCTTCTCTGATTGTGTGCTGTGTATACTGCAGGATGGAGAGAGAAAAAATACGTCATTAACTGTTTGGGAATTTTTTAAAACTTAAATGCTACTGTGCTTATCTCTGTCAGCAACAGCATGTTTGTCAAAGCACTCGGCAAACCAAATAATGGCAACCAGTCATTATGAAAGGAGATATTGTGTTGTGTTTTTTGCACCAGTGCTCTTTGATGCATGTTTGCCATAGTTTTACTTGTAGACTGGTGAAAAACATGGGCAGTTGTTCTGAGCAGTTCTCCTAAAATCAACAAAACTTTTGTGCACCCTAAAAACACCATAGTGACAAAGCACAAAGCATGGCATCATCGACAGTGGTAGCTACAATCTAGTTAATTTACATTTGCTTTATTAATGATTAATTCTGTTATGCTGGAGTTGTCATAGACTGTTGGTGCTCTGGTTGCAGCCTAGGCCCGTTCAGAAAATCCTGTGCTTCCTTCATTTCACTGGAAAATAAGTGGGGAGGGTTGATTGGGGGATTTCCATATGTTAAGTAATGCATGGAATGAGCTAGTGACACGCAGCATACTAGCTAGTGCCCTTACATGCACGGCCTGCGCTCTGTTTGGATTTAGACTTGTAGCAGAATAACTCAGTCTAATTCCTTTTCAAAATGGCGTCTTGTTTTTCCCTCCAGCTCACTGCGCACGCTGCCTCTCCAGTTCAAAGTCATGCTTGCCCTTGACTCCGAAGGGTCTCAAGCCAGCAGCCGCACAACTTTGCCTCTGTGTTTTGTTTTGTTTTTATGGGTTTTGCAATTTGCACTCCTCGTTGTGCCTGTTTCAGTTTGAGCAACGTCTCACTGTCACTTACATTCACGAGCAGACTCACACACACACACCTTCCACTGTCCATGCAGCCTTTCTGCTCAACGCCCACACTCACTTTTCAGTAGACTTCTCATTTACTAATTTAAAAACAGGTTTGTTTATTAAGTAAAGCTCAGATTGTAGTGCGTCTGTGTGCTTCAAATATGAGGCTGTTGTTCACTTGTGTTTTTCTTTCTCCCGAGGCAGCAACATGTTTCATGTTGAAATGGTTGGGCTGTCCTCCACTGTTAACTGTTGCCTATTGTTGGGCTGCAGGAAAGCTTTATTGGCTAGCCTCCTTTCACGCAGACAGTTACTGTGACCTAGATATCGTTACAGTTTGATTATACATGCAGTGATGTTGTGGCTCCTCGATTGATGGGTTTTTCTTCGGGCACTGCCAAGCTGTAGAATTTCACAGAGAATTTGAGGGGAAGCGGAGTTGGCTGCAGCCATGCATGTACACAGTCACACCCTTCTTCGACAGATAGGCTTGGACAAAGAGCAAAGACAAAGAGAGGCACAGAACCTACTACAACTGCAGGCTTTCTAACACTCCCACATGTTTTCATAGTTTTGCCGCTTCATCTCATAGTAGTTTTAGCTTGCATGCAGGTCAAATGTCCTATCTGTTAACTGAAAGCTCTTATCCCTGCAGTATGAATAGTAGGGTTTCCCCTTTATAGTAGGGCTTTTTTAGCTCAGGTTACCAAAGGACTGCCCTTATTGTTTCACATTTCTTGGGTTTGGGTTCCTTGCAGCAATAACGGCCCATGTTTGCAGGTATAAACATATAAAAATTAATATCACAATCTGTGATCTAAATGTAAACGAAAGGGTCATCTCATAACCAAATTCACAACACAGAATTACAGCCTACTAGACTTGGCAATATCAACAGCCAGACTAACTTTACACAGTTAAATCCACAGTATGTTATGAATGCTTTTTGATGATAAAGGTTGTTTACATCAGTATGTATGATCAGATGTGAAACAAACAAAAAAAACATGAAAAAAATTGTTGTTTATATGCAAAAAAACTCAATAATGTTCGTAAAATTAGGTCAGGTTTATATGGTTGAAAAAACTGGGTTTCTAACTCAAAATCAATCATGGTCACATTCACATCAAGCTTACAAACTCATGCTTACTGTAAATGGCATTTACACTCACTATTTTGTCCTACTTTCTCCCTTCTTTATGACAAAGTGTCTTACATTTCATACATACATAAAAAAGGGTGGAAATACTGTCAACTGATAGACTCCTATAGCACCGTATTAGAGTGGTGGATCCCAAGGGATCTTGGATGTATTTTGAAAAACATTGCTTGATGCTATTACAGGATTTTTGCCCAACTAGCTGAAAACTGTTTCACTATTCACCATTTCTTGTACAGCTGAAAATTCTCTTTTTGCACCGTGGTTAAAGCCTACTGAAAACTAACATTAAGTAATGACGAGCTGCAAACAGAAGCAAAAAAAAAAAACTTCATCACTTTTCCAGGTAATTTGTGCTAATTAACAGTGGAAAGGTTTGGTAAAAGATCAAATGACTGTGGGCAGAATGAGAGATAAGAGACCAAAGATGGAAGCTTGTTAGATGGCAGGCACACAGACACACCCCATGTCATTGTTTTTAAGAAATCTGACCTATTTTGCTCAGCTCATAGCCAAGGCGGCCTGTGGGCGGAGACAAGGGTGATGAAGAAATCATGTAGGAGTAAGGGGTTTCATGTCCTGCCTGAGCAAAAGGGGCTAATTTCTGCTGTTCTATAATATATCCTCGCCACCAACAGCATGGGTCCGGCGTGGATTTCACACCTTTTAAATGTCTCTCCAGAGCTAGGCACTCATATTAAATCGGCCACCAGGATTTTCTTGTCTTTCTATGCAGACATTACTTAGTAGGTGTTGCTTTGTTATTCTAATTTCAGAATGATTTCTGCATTAAGTTTCTAAAACCTCACAGTCAGATCCTGGTTGGCACAATAATAAAACTTAATGCAATAATACAGCCAAACCTCTCCCTGACCACAGTGTCTGTTCTAGAATAGGTATTATTGGCTGAAGATTTATCATAACAATAACAGCTATGCTCCATAACTCATGTTAGCTGATATAAAATAGGCAGAATGAGGTAAAATCTTATCTCGGTCTACACGTTCAGTATGTTTTTACAGCATCTCAGCAGCAGATCTTTCTCTTGTCTTTGTTTGATGTTCTTTCAGGTTTGTTTCTCTTAATGTGATAAATTATTATCTAAAACACTACCTGTTAATACAGAGACATCAGCCTTGTAGAGAGGTGTTAATAGTATTTAATCAACAATGTGATACCTACACATGCAAGGATAGACTCCCGCAAGCACACGCACACTGTTGCCATGCCAAGGATTTTTGAGACTGATTTGTTTTTTGCCCTTTGAGAAATCTGAAGTCTCTGCGGTTTGTCTAAAGCTTGATGTGTGCTCGGGGCTGATGTCTCCCTCTGGAACACACATTTCACTGAGTCACATAATGAAGATACCAGAAGCAATGTGCTTTTTTGATTATTCTGCATTATTTATGACGAAGGAGAAAATGTCACGTCCTTGATGATGTTATTCGTCCTACACGCTCGACAGAGTCAACAAGCCAATATTCCTGTCAAAAAGATCCTGACCTCCGTGAATAGATGAAGCATTTTTTTTCCTGACATTGCCTGTTTAGATGGTGGTTTCTTTGTTTGAAGGATTATTCAGCTGGTTATTATTACTGATGTCAGGGCTGTAGCACCTCGCAGTGAGAGGCTGATCACACAATGACGGCGCTGTGGAAAGCGGGTGCAGCTTCGATATCATTTATTAGGTCTGGTGCGGTGCATGAAATTCTACTGTATGTTGTTCTGATACTCAGATCTGTCTGCGCAATTCTCCGTCCATCTACCCAGTACTTCTCAACAGTGAGGCTGCCTGCTGCAGGTCCTACCAGCAATCGTATTGTCTGTGTAGGATGTTTTCTATCAGTGTGTTTGTTTGCCTTTCTTTTCCTAATGCAGTATCAAGTAGCACAACACAGAGGAAGATAGACAATTACTGAGACCAAATCGAAGACCGGGTTTAGGCAGGGAGACAGACAAAGAAATGCTGAGATATACCACCACAGAAAAACAGACAGACAGGTGAGTATGGCAACCACTGTATGGCTGTGTTTGCACCACTGCTCCTCTGATCTAAATTTCATGAGACTATTAAAAACAGGGAGGGATGGGGAAATTGCGCTTGCTCCCTCTTCTGCTCTCCTTTTACGCCTCCAACCGCTCTCCTCCTCGCTGTCAAATAACGAAGAAGAGGAGGGGAGCGCGAGTGAGAGTGGCGGCCATGCTCGTCTCTCCAGTACAATGGGCTTGTGGGGTTGAGGGCTGAAATGAATAGCTGATGTCTGTAATGAGTTGGCGTGCCTGCCATAAGCTCCATTCCTAAGGCAGTAGCTGTACTGTATGCTTAACAGTAGATCAGTTGTGGTGGAAGAGTAAATATGGGTTTCTAATGGGCCCTCATCGCTTCTCCAAGAGCTTGTTTTTTTTTTTCTTTTGTTGTTTTTTGTAGAAAACCATTTTCTGATGCCCATACACCGCACTGCCTGAAAAGGGTCGTGCTGATGATGATGGTGGTGGTGGTGGTGATGGTGGGTTGGTGTCGACAGAGATTGTATACATGATTCAGGTTCATGGGGGTGGGGGGTGGGGGTGCTCTCTTTTGGTTGTCATAGCAACCCAGTCATTTCTTTCCCCCAGCTACGTCTCCTATCACTTTAATTCATGCATTCGTTTCCTTTTATTTATTTCTTATTTTACTTCTTGTAGAAAACGGTAGTGGGATACATGCGAGTGGAGCTGCAGCTCAGCATCCATCTGTTGGGCTGCATATGTAAACCAATACAAACGTAGCTAATCAGTGCCAGCCTTAATTGCTAATCATTCCAATTATTTTCCCCTTTAAAAAAAAAAAAAGCTAAATTAGTTTAGCGTTGTTGTATAGTTATATGCATTTAATCACTGGCTAAACATGGGCTCATTTGAGAGCAGAGCACAGATGTTGTTGCTGTGGACTCCTAAGCAACATCCTTAAACACCACTGTTGTATTTAAAGGCACGGGGATTTATTGAAGTGCTGTGTGTGTGTGTGTGTGTGTGTGTGTGTGTGTGTGTGTGTGTGTGTGTGTATTCTGATGTCCTCCGAATGCTGTTGAGTGCAGTAACAATACATAATCGTTTTCTCTCACTGTGCTCAATGTTGTCTTCTGTCCTATGTGTTCTTTGTTTATCCTTGACAAGCAGCCAAGTGTATTTGTCTGAGGGCACTCCATGGCGCAGTGGTGTTCATTTCATATCACATGGATGTCTATTAGGAAAGAAATTTGGGACAAAATTGAATAAAGACTGTCTTTTAGGGATGTGTGCGCAGTTGTTGCCATACACCGTCTTTGGGAGAGTTGATGCCTGGTAAACTCTGATACAATTATTGCTGCAACAACTAGGTGACAGAAAATTTGATGCTTAATTGTTGTGATTGAAAAAACGACACATTTTCCAGTTAGAGCTTTTTAAATGTCCTAGTTTCCTTTTTTATATCAAAAGTTTCATGTTTCTTGGAAAACTTGTGATGAATGAAAATAATCGGGTGTTGCAGCACTTAACACAAGTGTAAATATGTTAAACTGTGTCTATCCAGACATGTCAGTGCCTTTTTCATTTTTATCTTTTTAGATGGAAGATGGCCAGACACTGTTTGACTACAACGTGGGACTCAATGACATCGTCCAGCTGCTGATTCGCTCACAGACCGACCCTCCAGACAGTCCAGCCTCCAAGGAGCCCTCTGGTGTGTCCTGCAGTTCGGCTCCCCCTCCTGACTTAAGGTCGGAAAGCCACAACTCCCCAGCTCCCGACTCCCCTGCTGCTATGGAAACCTCTACCATTACGAACAATGACAGCAGCAGTGTCACCACCAGCACTGTTAATGAAACCAAGCCGGACACCAGCGCTACCAGTAACTCAGCCAGTACCAAAAATGGGTTCAACTCCTCCAGTCCGGCGTGGGACAGCCAGCCCCCCACGTCCAGCAGAAACACACTAGTCGACCCAGGGATTGGTGTGTACAAGGTGAGGATGAGAATTGAAATATTTGGGGGAGTATAAGCAAGGTTTTGCATGAAACTGGCATGACTCTTACCTAAATTACAGAGCACTGAACGCCCTACAAGCCAAGTCCCTGCCAGAGATCCTTGCTCCACTGCTGCTGTTAAACTGAACCATCTTGTAAATACCAAGCCCATGTCATATCTGTATTAGATGCTGAAAACATACTTTTTTTGTAGCATAATTCAACTCACATAAAAGTGTGCATGATTGTGCATACTAGGTAAGTTCCTCTTCCCCCTCATAGTGCTCTTATGGCATTCCTGCACATGAACAAGAACAACCAGTCAGAGCCGAGGAGTTTCTATCACAGCTTACAATCATGCCAGTCACTGCTTGTGAACTGCGGTTAAACTGTCAAACTAGGCAGTGCTTATCAAATACGAATCAAGGCTCTGTTATCGCATTTCTTGCCTGAGGTGTTTTCAGAAACACATTTTAGTGTACTGTTCACTTGTAAAATGAGAGTTTATGACGTGGCCGCCATGTTAAAAAACAGTTGAACCAAAATGTGTGTAGTAAAATGTTTCTGGAAATATTTGAGTTGAGAAATAGGCAATGCAGTAACATAATCTTGATTCATATTTGATCAGCACTTTGAGCAGGTGATTGACATATTTAACAGCTGAGTTAGAGACTCTTTGGCTCTGATTTGCTGTTTTCAATAAGCCATGGTAGATTCTAGCAAATGCCATTAAAAGCACAAAGAGTGGGAAGAGTAACCTGATTTTTTTCTCATCGATTAAGTGTCTCATATACTTCTGTATGGATGTACTTTAAGCAAATATAATTTTCTTAGAAATTAGCAATTGTATCTTTAATATGCCTTCAGAGATTTCTGATTAATACCACACAGCAGTTTGTAATTGTGCTGTTTTCAACTTCAAAAAAAGCTGAAGGCAAGGAAATACTGTGATTTTAGTTTTCCTCCTGCATGTGTTCATTTCTTTCTTTTCCCATTCCCTTTTCCACTCTCTTGTGCTGCACCACCTTAGACTGCTTAGCTTTAGTATTCCAGCCCAATGCATCCTTTCATTCTAACCATGTAACTGCTCCGTCTTTAGGTCAGATACCCTGAATGCCTTTAATTTATTAGAACTAATGACATACTTTTACAAGCATGCGGCTAACCTTGCCACGGAGCCACACGTAAGAAACGGCCTTTACAACCCCGCCACTAACTGACTTAGAGATTATAAATAGGCTGCAGTCAAAAGCAATATATTGGTGAGTCTACTCTGCTTTACTGTGTTCTACTGAGCTTTGCTTGCTGGCTGACCCACATGTCTGAGAATTATATGTGTGGGACTAGACTGGCTTTGATGCCAAAAGTCCAATCCAGCGTGCAGGAAGATCAATATGTAACTAAGCAGATGAGTTGTAAATTGTGCAACTTCACTGGATATCAAGGTCACATGCCTTTACGGGCTTTAAGCATTCACTACAGACTTGGACATATTTTATGTGGTTTTCACACAACACATAGCCGAACAGTGCAATGCAATGAATGCATCTTTAACACTCGAGAGTATTGTGAATCTCACTACGATGTTACATGTTAACAAAGCGTCATGCTAATGTTAGTATAAGTGCAATGTGTGTTTGTATGTCTTAATTTACTAACTAGAAATTGCCCATGAATTATACAACTCACATTTCTGTAGTAGTTAAATGAAAATAAAGTTGCAGGATGCTGCTGGTGATAGTTCAATCTGCACAGAACTGTATCTTGCTTGAGATATGAATACACCTGTTCAATATGTGGTAATGTCGTTGGTGATACAATCATAACTGTGAAGGATTTCCTATTGGAGTATGAAAGTTGATTTTCATACTGCATTGACAGCTATAAGAACTGGCTACCTGGAGTGGGGAAAAACATGTTTAAAAATCCAATACTCTCTGTAACACTTTGATTTAAGTATATGATATGTAACAAATGGGCTGAAACATGCCATATTTCTTGAAATAACCGACAGATGGGATCAAACGAGACCAGGTGTTATTTTTGTCTTTGTGTCTCCTCAGATTAACGAGCTGGTGGACTGCAGAGACGTCAGCATCGGCGCCTGGTTTGAGGCCTGCATTGAAAATGTGACACGCGCTCCCAAAGGACAGATAACGCCCACCAAGGGCAAGGTGGGCCGGCCCCCAAAAAGGACTAATGGAAAGCTGGAGGCCGAGCAGGGACAGGCCCACGGCCAGGGCCTAACCACAGACAGTAACAGGAATAATGTTGTGTTAAGCCCTGAGAGTAATGGAGCCTCCACCTCTCAGACAGACTCTACAGCAGCTACAGAGACCAAGGAGAGAGAAGAGGATGTAATTTACCACATTAAATACGACGAGTAAGTGACGGCTCATTTTGCTGGGGAGCATCCCGGCCGAAACTGAGCTGATTTTTGTTAAAGTGATAACAAAACACATCGTCATGGGTTTTAATAAGATTGTGCAGTTGGATATTGCATTTTAGCAGACATCTGCACAGTGTCAATGCGGCAGAATTTCGGGCTGGTGAACAGTCATTCTAGATGGTAGAATGGATTGAAATGCGCAGTGCTGTAGCTCAGATAGGATAGTGCGGGTGTGTGCCTTCTTCATTGCAGCACAGCAGAAAATAGGGTTTCCTTCTACTAGTTATGCCAATGTTGAAAATGTATTTGCCCGTGTTGCTGTTGTGCTGCATTCAAGATAAAACTGTCCGCCAAACATACATACATTGTGTGTGTATGTGTGTGTGGTGCGAGTGGCTGCAAGCATCAGTAACGGTTGTTCGGCGCGTTGGGAATTGCAGCCTCTGCTTTCTCCTGGCAGTTCAGGGGATGGAGAGAGGGGGTTTGTGTAGTTGGTGCTACAATTTGGACTCTATCTCTCGCGCTCTCCTTTTCCAGCAAATTCATTCAGAAGCCGATGTTTCCATGGTAACCCATGAGTTCTCAGGAGCATTACTTCTTTGCTTGCCTCCTTCAGCTTTGTCTGTAATTGCTGTGAACATGCCACCGGTGAGACATAGCCTTCTCACTGCGTCTATCATAGTGTGTGCCTTTGCATGTGTGTGTGTCTCTGTCATGGGATGTTGTGCCAGAGAAGCAGCATCAAGGGTTGTTGAGCAGTAAATGTGTGTTTTCTTTTAGGCAGACATCATTCCCATTTGACATCCAGCAATCTTCCAAATCCCTGGTACTCGGCTTTTATTTGTTGTTTTTGCAACAAGACAGGCATGTCCCCCTTTTTATTTAAATTCATTGGTTTTTAATTATTTATCCGTTTGTTTGTTTAGATTATTGTTTTCACCTCGTGTTCCTCGTTTGCTTTATTTGATAGCTCACACTCAAGAGAGACAGAGATGGGAGTGGGACACAAAGGACAACAAAGGTCCCATGCTAGTTTTGAACCCAGAATGCCACAGTAATGTTTGATTTGCATCTGCACCAACTAAGCAACAAAACAACCCTCAGTTTTGTCTGCTGCTGAAAAGCCACGGCTACAGTTGGAAAAGATCTAAATTGTCAGCTTTCTGTTTTTGTCGACGTGTTCAACACACTCTTTTTGCCTTCTACTAAATGCGTAGCAGTATTCGTCTCTGTCCTGAGCGTCATTCCAGGTTTCTTCCATCATTTTGTTTGCCAGAGAAAAGTGGAGGGTGGGTAAGATTGCTCTGCCTTCCCATGCACGTGCGCGCGCACACAAACACACACACACACACACACACACACACACACACACTCCCCCATTAAACACCTGCCTGTGTAGTCTGAGGATTGAAAACCAGCCCTACAAAATGAACTGCCATGTTTTTGCATGAAGCTGTTCTGGACAGCATCTCTACAGACTGTAATGAGCCACAAAATCAAAGGGATAGGTTGGGAGAATCTCTCCTCTGCTGCTCCCAGAAACTGAGATGGCGTGTGTGTGTGTGTGTGTGTGTGTGTGTGTGTGTGTGTGTGTGTGTCTGTCTGTCTGTGTTGCTCCATTACAACTCTCAGATATGGTTTTAATGGTCAGATCTTGGCTGAGCTCAACGTATGTTTAAGATTCTCTGTGCAGAAAGTAACAAATATAGACATAAAATGGGCAAATATCAATTATGTTTATGTAGCTTTCAGGTAGACTGTTGTATTTGTTTTTTTGCTAAAAGAAACTTGCATCTTGTTTTTAAATGGTGCCTGGAAGCCAATTCACTTGCCAACGCTGATTAGGAAGAAAACAAAACAACAAAAAACTACAAACAGAATGTCTGGTCAAAAAGCAGTACTTCCTGTAACATAATTCAGCCAAAATGAAATAATTACTCAACACCATTGGTCAGATGGCACGTCTGCTGCAGCATTCTGCAGAAGAGGGCATCAATTAAAATCGAATGAAGCTGCTACACTGACCACTGAAGCCGCGGGCATGGCACAACTCCTCTCTGTTTTTATGCTGCTTATGTCTTTGTTTTTGCCCTTAGTACTGCTCTGCAACTCTGCATCAAATACTATACAAAACTGTGTAACAAAACGAGTACAATCGGTGTAAAAATTCATTAAAATAAATACATTATTGTACCAGAGGCAATGTGATGCAGAGGAGCAACCTTGTGGACCTTTTAACATTTGACATAAAATTTGTTTTAATTAAAGCAATGCATCCTGTAGTTAAAGCAATCCAGTGCATGCATCCAAACTCTGCATAACCAACTGCATTATCACTTAGCAAAACTCTGTATGCACAGATTGCAGGTTAAAAACCCGCTCCATCTTGCTTATATGACACGTTGCATCCATATGCTATCTATTTCGACCATAAGACAGAATTTCTTTTGTGTAGGGTAGGGCAGTTGGCTGAATTTATGTCAGCCCTAGTGCAACTGCTAGACAACAAGATTAGTCCCAGAAAACACTCAGTCGAATTTTCAGAATCTACATTTTTGTATTAGGAGCATAGTTGCCCCTGAGATTTTGGCCCCATGAAAGCCAATTTCACATGTCACAGCAGGACAAGCACAGGTGTAAACAGCAAAACTGATAACAGCTGAATTAATTCCATTTTGCTGCTTCAGTTTTTAGGGTCGTGGTATTGTGTTCTGCACAGTGGCTCACTGTCACACTGTCATGGCTTACTGGGACACCTAAACATAATGCAGCCATTGTTAATGTCATTAGCAACACCTGTGCTTTTCTTACAATAGCAAGTCAAAATGTGTCTGATGAATAAAGCCTGTTGCCATCCAGAGCTGTGCACCTCCAGTAAAAAATCCAGACTATTTTTTACAAAGCTTGATATGTACCTGTTTGAACTAAAAAAAAAATGTTTTGGGAAGGTTTTGCTTAAAAGAGAGGCTTAAGAGCTCTGTGTTAATTAGCCAGGATCAACATACGCAGTTGAAGAGATCTTACCAGCATTTAAAGCCGTGGTGGTCGGTCTGCCGTTATCTGAGCACGGTTGCTATCTGAGTGCTGCCGAGGGTTTTATTTTCTGCCGTTTCTAATTTAGTAAGTGACAATGAAATAAGGATGAAATAAAGTTTAATTTCAGTTTCCCTCTCTCGCTCGCCCACTCTCCATTTCCTTTTCTGCACAGAGCAGTCATTGTTTGATTGTTGAGTAGTACCAAAATGCTAGATGGCTGACATCTAGTTCAACTGCAATCTTAGACATTTTAGTTTTACGGCTGGGTGATATGAAGAAAATCAAACCTGACAATATTTTTGATCAAATACTTCAATATTGTTATGCTTTGTTGATGCTTTAACAAAATATTTACACAATTAAATGTAAGATTTTTAATGAATAATCATCAGTAATGTGGGTATGATGACTAAGTGGGTAAAGGCAAATTATAGAGCAGTTAGAACAGTCGCGTAACTTTAGAAAAGTACATCACTTTATTGTATCACAGCCTTAAAAAAGGAAGAAACATCGCTTATAATTTTACTATATCCCAAATCGAGGATGATATCTAGGCTCACATCGCACTATTGATGTGATATTAATATATTACCGAGCCCTAGCCCAGTGGGGGTGAACGATTGATCGATATATCACCAAAATTGGATTATGGCCAGTTGCAATATCCAAATCGCAGGTGCTTTTTTCAGTGAGAATAAAAAAGGCAAAAATACTTATCCTACAATAATTGCAGCCCTACCTAGGTGGTTCATAGGCCCTTTTCACAGATGTATTTAATGCAATTTATGAAGACTTACTAGCTGCTTCAGTTGCAAGGTCCTAGTATTGTGCAAGCTGCTGGCTCTGGCATCTTTAATGTAATTAGTAACACCTGTGCTTTTCCTACTTTGTGGAAACTGTGTAATCACAATGCAGTTATAACATATTTTAAATTATTCTTATTTTTGTTTGCAGAAAATAATATTAACAATATTAATCTGTACCTGCGTATCCTGTGCAGGACTGCCAGTGTCTGGATTTAGTTGAAAACTGGTGTCGTCTATGTGTTGCTTCAGTGTTGAGTCATCTCAGTGTCCCTGAGCTGCAGCAAGTTGGAGAGAGATTTCTGCTGTCACATTACAATAATGTAATTCAGGTTGAAAATCAGCAAATAGGCCCCTTTTAAATACCTGAAGTTGTCTTCTGATGTCTCTCACATGACTGAACTTTAAAATTTCTCATCCCTACGATTGAAGTAATTTAGATACATATTTAGAAAACTTTGCAGCTCCACATTTTGGCCTCAATTACTAACAAAGCCGAGGTTAAGAGAGTCTGCAGTCACTTTCCCTCACGACTGTGAAGCAATTATATTTAGCTTGTTATTTCGAACTCGGCTGCTTATCAGCAAATTGAAGATTTCTAATTTTCTCTTGCCTTTCTCCCTCTTTACAGAAACCTCAGCAAAGCGCACAAAGCGCTAATGATGGTGTCATAACAGAGGAGACTGTAAGAGCTCCTCTGTCGATAAGTCATGTTGTCTCAGTTTCAGTACTGATTAAATAGGTTTCTCCATTTTAAATTGGTACACTTTGCATTGATAAGAGTGTTGACATGATTTTGGTTTCTTGTTTACCTCTTCTGCGCCTGAAAGTCTTTCTTCCTTCTTCCCACAACTCTGGGGAAAGTTCCTGTTAATACCAGGCTTTGGGTCTAGCCACTGTGACAGCGTAGGCGGATAGTCAAGCTAACTCTGTGTAGAGATTCAACACTGATGTTTCAAATGTTAGATTTATTCCTTCAGACTCACAGCTCAGGTTCTTTTTTTGGGTGTGTGATACCCACAGGTGGAATAACTCAAGCAGTGTTTCAGAAGAAAACAGTATTGTGTTTCCAAAGAAAGCACTATGTGTTTAGGTGTAGCAGTAGGAGTGAAGAAAAGCAGATAATGAGAATCTTGCTTGTGAAGTGTATAGTGT